TAAAAGTTATAGCATGAAAACTTTAACAAGCACAAAATGGTTACGAGGTCAGTCCCAGGGACCAAGCGAGTGCTGAAAGAGTTAACATGCACAAGAGTTAAGCTACATGTGGGCAAATTCATATTTTTGATCTGAAAAATTATTCAACTCTGTATCATAGTTATTTATATTATACATTAAGCTCAAAGTATTAACATACAAACAAATCCTTCACTTACGTTTTTGTGGTTCACAAGCTTCATCAGTTTAAACTCCCTATAGGCCCTTTTGGCATGAGTTACATTCTGGAAGGGTCTGCTTAGTTTCTTGATAGCTACGTGCTGATCTGTTACTTTGTCAAGAGCAGAACTGCAGAGAAACAAAATACTTTTTTAAATGCCTATCAACAAATATGTTTACCTCTGTATCTGCGAGGAACAATGATTTACAGATGTGTTAAACTACTTTTACAGACTTCTTATGTATGTAATAGATGTGTTTCTGTGTATGTGCACACATACAGGAAGTATCAAGTTCACTCACGTTTGCTTTGATTTCTCAAGTACACATTTAAAGCAATGCCAATTTTGCCTAATATAAAAGAAGAATCGCCTATTAAATTTTTTTCCTTTTTCTGATGACATAAAAATAAAATAAACCACTCAATTTTGCCAAAATGTATCATAAGAATGATTTATTTCATCTGCAGTCTGAAAAAATTGATGACTAACATGCATATACAGATGCTAACTCGGATCATTTCAGAAGTATGCTTCCTAATTCACTAAACCTTCAGGCTCTTTACAAAACAATGATTAGAAATAGTAAAGTGCATGTGACCCTCAACTCAACGATTCATCCATTTCCAGTTATCAAAAAGAATTATATTCTCAGTCAGGAAAGACATTTGCCCATTAACTATTTCCACACCGTACCAAATCCCAATTTTTCATACTTCCATTCACAAAATACCTTGTAGAAATCACTGTTTGAGACTTATTAACATAATTAAATCAGTTCTGATGCATTTTGAATTGCAACAAGCTTGTAAGTATAGTTAGTAGACAATCAATAAGACTGAAATAAAAAGGTTTAAGATGTACATATAGTATATTTAAAATATACACTTACATGTATTTTTGGATTTGAGTACTTGGTAGACTTAAAGTCAACAGATATAAAATATATGTAAAAATTATCTATTTCATGTTATCCTTCAAATTAACATTTTTTATACAACTCATTACACATATAAATGAGAAATTACACTACTTGCAGCATTATCAACTAAAAATATCTTGAAATTTGGTTACTTCTCCTCCATGTTATTCCTTTGGAAAACTGTTCTAGCATTATCCCAATTATGAAGCTGTTTGCTTAGTTTTTCATTCCCACACACACCAGCTAGCACCATAACACAAAAGAAATATTGCTGTTTGTCATAATTCAAATGTTTTAATTTTTTTTCTCATCAACAGTTTCTACTTCACTCCACTATTTCTTTTAAAATGCTTTTCTTCACAAAGAGATTGAATACATATAATGCTAATTCGATGATG